GACAAACTTGCATTTCATTTTTAAGAGGGTGGAGAAAGTGAGGTTTCCATTCTCTCAGACTCCCACTGAGTTCACCATTGTCCAGGGACTGACTGACTTTCACTGTTTAGCAATTAAACAACTTGCATGGATAATGTTAAGAGAAAATAGTGCATACCATTCAGTCACCAGTCTGTGCTTTGCACTCAAATGAACTTATGAAAATATATGGATAGAAATTATGCTAGAGACTTTTTTTTATGTTACTAAATATAACTCCTTTAACCTGGTCTAAAGAACTTAATACTGTACTGAAGCAAGACTTGTAAGGAAGGACTTGTGGAGAAAGAAAATTCTTGAATACAGTTCCTGTATCTTTTTTCCTATTATTTTTGTCTGCAAGCCAAGCAAAATACTACTGTCTGTCTTTCATGCATGGTAGCCTGAACAAATTCTGCCCTGGGTACTTGATTGTTGATCCTTAGGCCTGACATTTTTCTTGCTCAATCATGTTTCTGCTCCTTATTTGCCTCCGTCTGTCAATTTGACCACATCAAGATTGTAGTCTGTATTAACAGATCGCTTGTAACTGCATTAATATTCATACAGCTGTCATAATGGTATCAGTCAAACGTTGTTGATTGTTCAGTGTCATGACATCTGGTACTTTATTTTTTTTTTGCTGTCAAACCAAATAAACTAGACCTCTGCAACTACTGTCAGGTCCATAGGTAAATCTTTTAAAGCAAGTCAATAGATTCTATCAGCTTGGGAGGCAGAGGGCTGTATGAGATAGGAAAGCCAGATTCCTTAAGGTTCCTTGCTATAGTCTACAATATTTGATCAACTTATACCTTGGTTGAATGTTTGCCTCCCGTTGCTTAGTAAATGCACACTGGGAGGAAAAAATGACTCATTTTCCTTGGTTTGGATGTTCACAGTCTGACACTCAGTGACACTGCTCGCAATTTAAATGCCTGCTGCAAATTCAAGTTTCTCTGTCACTGCTCTTTCAGTGGATACTGGCAGGTTCCTCCTGAAACCCAAGGGAACCCTGCTAATTACATCAGTTTGTGAACCTTAGGAGAAGCCAGCAATCAGGAGTGTTTTGATAGGTAAGTTAATAAGGGTTAGTAAACTTTTTAACTCTGGTAATGTAATGGATTATTATGATTTGTATGTTCGTAATGCAGTGATTGCAGTTATCAGGACTAGGATGCAAAAAACACAGTAGATAAAAAGGATACCAATGTACACAACATGACAAGATGTTTCTGATTGGTTGAGTTATCCCTGGCATGAAAGAAAAGTTAACTGTCAGTCTTCATTCTCAAACCATGCAGGCAGATTCTGAATGGTTAGGATGTTGACACTGGAATGCAACTGAGATTTGTAGTCTCCATGACCCCAATTTCTCATGAGAAAGGTGCAGTGTGTGTACATATTTTCAGCTGCACTGTGAATGGCTTGTAGCGTTGTGTAATCTAAAGACCAGCCGCCCGCGCGTCTGTGTGTGCCTAACAAAGGGACAAAGCAGTCATGTTCAGCAAATGTGATTACAGCAACAAAGTGCAAGAAGTGCTCTTTGAGGGTTCCAGGTTTCTATCTATAGGACCTGATACTGTGCATGACCAAATAGACACACTTGAGACAATTTTACTGTTACTTATTGGATTTTGATTTGGATGATAACCTGCTTGGTGACACACATGATAGCATTTGGCACTAGGCTTGGTAATACTTCTGGCTGTTTTCAATGAGAAAAGTATAATGACAAAGTTGCTTATTGCCTGCTGTCCATTCACACTTCCTTCCAACACAATCAGGAAGTAGCTGTTGTGTTGCTCCATAACTGTTGCAATTGAGATCATCCGTGAGGTCTGAGTTTGCAAGTGAATACTCAGTCTTTCCTGTTCTCTACTGCTCAGTACAATCTTTCTTTGTCTTCGAACCAGTTATGCTTTGGGTTTCAAGCTGGACTTTTGGTTTTAATTTGCTGTTAATCATTTTAATACTCTTCAGAACTAAGTGATTTCCAGATTTAGTCCAGTATTTTATCCTAAATATTAATTGTAGTAATAATATTCCACATTTTCATTTTCTTCCAGGGATTTTTTTTAATCAAGCTTGTTCATTAAAATAAACCAATTATTTCATGAGGTCACTAGAAATATTGAGAAATAATAAACTGAGTAATGCCATTTACAATTTTCAATATCTATTCCAAATGTTCTAAGGTTCCGACTAATATCTTAATCCTTAACCTTAATTAATCTTAACTTTAAACAAATCTTCTTTATTCTTATGCTGAACTTTTGTTTATTATTCTTTCAAGTCTGTAAAACATACTTAAATATCTGTATCTAGGTATCCTGTATCTAAGATGGTGCCAAAGCGGCAACATTACAAACTTTTCCCTGCACTCATTCCAGTGCACATGACAATAAAGCCAATTCAGTAATCCCGGTCCTGCTTGATAAAATATGATTACATTTTAAATGTGTTTCACCTTTCAATTTTAGCTAACTAAAAGTATCTCTGCTGTGTACTGTGGAATCTAAAAGCATCAGAGCCGTAAGATTCTTATGAAATCTTTAAAATTTCCTTTTCAGCTATTGGTCTGCAAATATCAAATAACTGGCTTCATTTGAATAGTGAAATGACATCGGAAATATTTAGAATGTATGGTGTGTCACTTCTAAATGTGGTCCTCTTTGAACTCCGGTCTGAATGTCGTTTCCTTTTCCTTACATTATACGGGGAACAGCATGCGATTCATTTATATTTGATTGCAGAAAGGAACATTAGTGTTCTGTTGAGATAATCACTTGTGGCAAAGACTCTTTCTTTCCCCTTTCACAATTGTGCTAACCAACTCCGGCAATTATTTCACAACTGTGCAGAATCCAGACAGTTATGTTGTTTTCTGACAGATTTGTTCTTTTTCCAATAAGCTAGCAACTTTTAACCTGTAGACATTACAGTAATGCCTAATAATGTTCTTATTTGCAATCTTGGATGTGAATGCTTTAGCTGGAACATTTTTACATCTTGGCAAAGTGTCTGGTCAGATGATCCTGGATAGTATCATTCGGACTTGCTGGAGCTTTGAGATTCCACTCTTGACTGGAGCTTCCTTCACATTCTATGTCGTTAACTTTGGTCAATTTAGAAGTTTTTGGATTGAATTGTGCCCCTAGGAGTTAGACATTTAATTAATTTGACCATATTTTGGCAAAGTGTCATTTTTGTCAAAGGGGTAAGACATCGATGATGGTATTGGTTCTCAACAGCTCTGCATCCACAATATCTTCCAGGTAGATTCGTAATTTCTTTGCTTGTGGACCATATTTTTCTACCTATCCATTGTGATGAAATTCATTTTTAGCAATCTGTAAGAATGTAATCTTAAGGGTACCTCCTGTTCCAAGGTGCTATGTTTGACTGTTTCAAAATGTCAAATCTGCCCATCAGTAAAGAAGGAACTTAATCTAAGATTTTCAACAGGTCACTCAGGACCATTCAAGGGTTAATGAAGAGGATTTCAAAGGTTACAGACAATCATGAGGATATGTAAGTGTGAGAGAGAGAGACAGATGTAGGGTCAATGTTGGGACCACAGCAGTTTGCTGTACAGCTGTGAAAGCAGCTGAACAATCCTGATTGTGTACAAAAGACTTGGGCAGGAATCAAAAGCAATTGAAAGGCTTTGTACTGTTAGAACACAGGAAGAAGTTCGGCAGCTAAATGTTGAATTCAGTGTACACATGAAGTCCTGGGGAGATGAGAAAGTGAGGATTTTGCTGGACCTATGTTGGGGGAAGCTGTGACCGTCATAGAGGAACCCTTTCAAGTATTCATATTCCAGTGCATTTGAGAAATTGGGCTTACAAATTGCACAGACAGTATTTGCTTGATGCAACTCAGCATGTTTGGAGCTTTGAGAAACAAGACCACTTCACTGACCAATCCCCACCACTCCCTACCTGCACTCACCTATCACCATCCCACCTACCTTCCCCAGCCCCACCCCTCCTCTCTATTTATTTCTAAGATCTCTTTCCCCTCTGCTATTTCTGAAGAAGCGTCCCGACCCAAAGAAGGGAATATTGTATGTACATTGTTTTTTGTATTAGTGAGTAGCTGGATATAATTTGTACAACTTGAATCTATTCTGAAAAATTTTCGCATTCATGAGTTTTAGAAATAAAGCTGTTTACTTGTTAACTGGTAGAACCTGGCTCGCTAATCTCTTTCCTGCTCCTCTGACGCTGCCTGGCCTGCTGTGTTCCACCAACTCCACACTGTGTTATCTCTGACTCCAGCATCTGCAGTTCTTGCTATCTCTAGTTGAGTGAATCTGTCTTCTGGTTAAAAGTTGGAGTCCCATTTTGCGAATTGAGTAGTGGAATGCAGCCTTGGAGTTCACTTGGGTGAGAACCCAGGACAGATGGGATAAATTGTTGAAGTAGTCCATGGCAAAGCAGTTGTTAGAGTTTCAAGGCCAAATCAACAAAAGTGAAGAATTCTGACTCTTTGTGAAATTTAATATCATTTTAAGACTAACTGCATTATTAACTTCTTGGGGATGTTACCCAATTTGTCAAAGATCCTCAGATAGCATCTTTCAAACCCATGACAACTTCCAGCTAGAATGACAAGGGCAGCAGATACATGGGAGCACCACCACCTGCTAGTTCTCCTCGGAGCTATTCACCATCCTGGCTTGGAAATATATCACTGTTGCTTCATTGTCGCTGGGTCAAAATCCTAGAATTCCCTCCCTCAGGGCATTGTGGGTTTACCTACAGCACATAGACTGCAACAATTCAAGAATGCAGCTCACCACCACCTTCTCAATGACAACTAGGCACGGGCAATAAAAACTGGCCAGGCAGTGATGCCCTCATCCCACGAGTGAATACAAATCAGCAATAACACAAAGGCAAAGATGCTCAGAACCCCAAAGCAAGGTATCTGCAGCATTAGAAAATGGAAGGAACAGAGCAGTGAGAGTCAATATGGGTGCCTTAGAGGCACAAGCAGGACAATTATATCAGAATAAGAAAATGGCAGAGACATTAAGTATGCACCTTGGACAGGAATTTCAGGCCCCACCAATGTCAGGAACAAAGGTAGATGGGGCCAAAAAGACCAGCACCAGCTTGCGTGCCTGTTTCCTGATTCCTTTCCCAGCAACATCCATTTTGGCCAAGATAGGCTCAGGTCAAAGTATGTCTTTCCGAATTTGTGCATTCTGTGCTTTTTCTGCTCTTCTTGGAGATTTAGGTTGGATACATTTAAAATAATTTTGCCTCCATCCCCAACAGTGACAAAAGTATAGCTACTCCTACCTGCTCTAGCTCATTAATTAAATCTGTCTCGATCTTACAGTTCTGCCATTGCTCGTGAAAATGAAACTAACATTTCTGTTTTATGTTATTTTGTTTTGACCAGTGTTGGGAGAGGAATGTTTACAGTCATTGAGCCTAAATAGGTGCTTCAGGTGCTGCTCGCTTTTTTTATTCTATTTCCATGGCTTCCTGTGGCTTTTAGCAGTTTTTAGCAGCTCTGAGCGTTCCTATATTTCTATTTTAGTAACTGTGCTTCTGTACAGATCTTCAACACTCAATCTCAGCTCCTCCCTAACACAAGCTCACAGGAATAACCATTTAACTCGTGCTGTGTCTTTATCGAATTGGCTGTGAGATGGCTGACTGCAGTGAGTGCTTCATTGTAAAGTTGACATGACTACGGCAAGCCAGGAGGCACGTTTAGTACAAATTGTTCTTCTATTTCATGCACCATTCTGATTGCTGGGATGTGGGATTTATGCTATGAAGAGACTTTGAGCAATTTGAGCCAATATTTCTTCAGATTTTGGAGAATGATACGTGATCTCAATGCAACCTGTGACTTGACAGGGTTGATACCAAAAGGATGTTTTCCCTGACTAAAGAGTTGAGAGCAAGAGATCGTTGTCTCAGAATAAAGTGTCAGTTCACACAGGGCTGGAATGAAAGTGTTTGATGTTTAAGATTGAGAGTCATTAGAATTCTCTGCTGTAGAGAGCTGTGGAAGGTTCATTCTAGACTATATTCAACATGCTTTAAGATTCTATGGTTTTGAAAAATGAGGAGATGATCTGAGAAGGTGGAGCTGAAGATCCATTTTTCAATTAAATAATAGAGCAAACTTGAGAAGCTGAAAGCCCTACTCCTATTTATTACATTCTTGAGTTTTGATACATTTGTTTTATTATTCATCAGCAGGATTTTGGCATTGCTAAACCAGCATTATTACTGTTCCCTAATTGACCTGAGAATATAGTGGCAAGCTGCCACCTTGTGCTGCTATGGCCCATGGATATAAGTACAGTTTGTTAGGAAGGGTTTCTGGGTTTTTGAACTGATGACGGTAAAGGACCAGTGACTTAGTAGCAAATCAGGATGCTGTATGGCTTAACAGGTTGAGGTTCTTCCCATGTATCTGCTGTCCTTGCCCTTCTATAGGTTGTAGGTTTGGAAGCAGCTAGTGAAGGAGCCTTGGTGAATTGCTTTTGAAGTACCAGTCAGAGAGAGAGAGACTGGCACAGGACAGAAGGAAACCACTTTGGCCCTCTCTTTATTTGAAACGTTTCTCAACTAAGCTAGGCCACTGATTTCACGGCCCACCATAGGTCTTCATTGCCACAATCTGTTCCTAAGGGAGAATTCTCAACTAACCCTCCTGTCTTCTAGGGCATCATCACAGCTCCAACTGCAGACTGAGAAAGAAACTTAGTGAGAAGCTCTTGTACCAGCAGCTATTGCAGGGAAAGTGACCCTTTAGCTAGAACTAAACCTCTGGATGATGTGTGTTTTTTTTTCCCTGACTGGTTATGTGGCTAAGTTTTTTTTTAAGGTCTGATGCTGTGCAGAGTTTTACTGTTGTCTTTTGCATGCTTGGGGAATATTGTATGTACGTTTTTTTTGTATTAGTGAGTAGCTGGATATAATTTGTACAACTTGAATCTATTCTGAAAAATTTTTCATCCATGATTTTTAGAAATGAAGCTGTTTACTTGTTAACTGGTAGAACCTGGCTCGCTAATCTCTTAAATCAAAGCATAGACAGTGTAGTATTTTTTTTATTAAATTGACAATATCGCCTCCCTTTTAAATTTGAGCTCTGTTTTCACCAACTTAGGAGTGGAGTAAAGAGAGCTGTCCATTCATTCCCAGCTTCAGTATCTGGGGATTTGTGAATGGTGCTTGAACATTATGTACAAACGTGATTTGAACAGGCTCCCTCTGACCTCATGATGGAAGTCACTGATGAATGCAGCTGACAATAGCTGTGTTTGGAGTACTATCCTGAGGAAATAGACTTTACAGCCTATGACAGGATTGCTAGTGGGGACAGTTTACCTGTTTGAATGGAAAGTTCTCCTCTGTTTGGGAAGATGTTCTCCTCCGTTATCCATGCTGGGGTTGCTTTGGAGAATGAGGGAAATTTCAATGCTATTGCATTGCTTTCCGAATTGCAATTTTCTTACCGTTATCTTTGGAAGAATATGCTATGTTCCCTCTTCCCTTCCTGCTGCATCCAAATGGAAGTAGGGCAGGCAGGATAGGAAAATCCCTTGAATATTTCTCTTCTACCCATCTCGTTTCTGGCAAATGCCCTGTGTAACTGCATGCAAATGCAATGTTTCCCAGGAAGTTTTTGGGTCCTCCTGAAAATGGAGATCCAAAAACGGGCTTGGGCTTTGAATTTTACCACCATTCATTTTGTACTGTCTAACTTTGTGGGAGTCAAAGGATGTGTTTTTAAAAGCTGGTTCAACTATTTAAATTGATGTAAGTTTGCTTTGTAGCAATCTCTTGAACAGATACATGCAGGTTCTTGAAACATCAGGGGTAATACTTATTTTTGTGCCTTTGGTAACATTATTAGTACAGTGTTCTGACTGCAGCCCAGCACACTACTTCATGCATTCCAGTCTAATTTAACTAACTGAAATACTATGTGATACTCACTTTGCAGTCAATATGTGAAATCCTGATTCTGCAAAGTAGTGATGTTAAAAAGTGCTAAAAGGTAAACGGATTGTGTAATTATGCTTCGTTCTTTAAAACAAATCAAATTGACTTTTATCAGTGGATGTTTGAAGTATTTGTCAGAGATGGCTCCCAGCTCAGAATTCTAACAACGTGTACATATTATTTCAAGGATGATTTTTTTTTTCTCGAGTTTAAATCTGGGCAAACTGTCAAAATTCAGCTTTTTAATCTGATTACTTTTAAATTTTGCCACATTATTAAACTTGACAACTACTTGAAGCATGAAGATATCAGATGAGATCATGGTTTGTTCAGAATCAAATACTGTATCAATCAAGTATAGCTCTATCTTTGACATCTCAGTTAGGGTGATGGGTATATCTATTTTAGTCTACTGTTTGAACTTCTTGTCAAACTATTCCTATGGAAACAAATCCAAGAATGTAGCCAAAGAAAAAAATAAGTAAACCTATCCAGCCCAGTAACATGCTGATTCCTTAAATTTTTGCAGCCATCCATTTCTCAATGCCAGACATCTCCAATCATTAAGGACCTGCATTCACGATACATACCCACTGTTAGCTGCTGAGAAGCCCTAGAGACTTTGTTCTCTGTTCTTGAAGATGCCTGGGAAATCTATGTGACTCCCATTTAATCCCTGAACCACCATTAAGTTCTGGTGGGCTTCTCAACAAGCCCGATTGTCATATTGTTTTAAGTGGGAAGGTTTCCTTCCTGCCTCCAACTTAATTGCAGGAGATTTTACCACCTCCAGGCAACTGGCACTCAGCGTATCCCCCTGTCACATGGACCAGCTACTGTGTTTGTTGCCACAATGGACTGGATTAAAGTCCATTCCTAGGAACTGTTACAGGTTGTACAGCATACTGCAAAGAAGTGAATGTGAAAGAACCGATTGGAAACGAGCCTTTTAGCTGTCTGATATGAACTGTGGTCTCTGGCTCATGCTGCTGTTTCCTGACCGGATGTTTTCATAAATCCATAAATGCCTAATGGCTAAATTTTACAGAAATTGTGTGAATACTGTTTTATCTGATAAAGATTGACGTCTGTTCTTGTAAACTACACTGAACATTAGTAAATATCCCAGTCACATTGGTGGAAAAAGAGGTATGTCAGGGTGACCAACAGTCAGTAAATGATCAGTAGTTACATTGCCATTGTCCCACAAACTGTAACTCCAGGGCTTGGTACTGACAGGGGAATCTGGTTTTGCAGGTTTTAGGCCAATAGGAATAAGTCACACTGTTTTCTGCTGCAATGAGCATACATTCATTATAGGACAAAAACAGCCCATGACAGTAATAGTCAACTGTGACCATAAATCTGTGCCATCCTTTTAAAAAATAGACAATGTTGCCCAATTAGATAATGCCTGTTGTATATTGTCTATGTGAGGAAGGAACTAAAGTGTTATGTGTAAGGGTTTGAGTAGGAAGCATTTAACAGCTGTCTCTGCAAAGCTTATAATATGTAACCGAACCAGTCTGGTACTGTTTAAATCATGGTGTATCTCTTTAACCAGCAGCCTACAGAATTAAATAAGACAGAGTTCTTATTTTTTAAAGCGTGAAGTGTGATTATTCAGCCAACCCAGAATTCATCTCCACTATAATGATGAACTCTCCAGAAAAGCAACAAATGCAAAATCACCAGCGTTAAAACAGGATTGAGTTCTATGTCCTTCAGCCACTCGCCTCCAGAGTCCACTCGGTGCCTGCACATTCCGATTCAGTTTTACTTTCCACTGTTTTTGTCCTCCCAAGACTTCCAAATAGATTGAAATATCTTTCAAGCCTCTCTAAAATCCTCAAGAAATGATTATATATTGTGGTCGCTTACCTTTAGAAGCCTACATTTTTTTCCTTTCAAAATAAAGTTACCAAGGCCAAAAAAAAATGCGCGTGGATCAGTTGCATGCCATTTGGCATGTCACATTGCTTGCCAAATTTCCATTTATTGCTGGCAATCTTGTACCGATTTTCATGCTGTGTGAGAATTGACCCAGTCTTTGCGACAGTAGTGATGGTGAAACTGACAGCATTCATCGTGTTCGCTCCATTGAAACTGACAGCAACGTCAGCAGTATGCACCTATTCAAAACAACTGGATGTTATTGTCAGTGAACCATGCTTGTACAGAGAGTGCGCTGTTGTATATGGGCTTTCAGATCCTAGGATAAACTTATGATGTCATGTAGCTGCTTCCCATATGGCATAAATAAAACAGCATGGGTGGGATTAAGTTAGAGTGAAACAAGAACCACATGTATCATGTAGCTGACAGTCTCTTCTTATACCAATAAGATCAGAACTCTATCTCCCACATCACCATGTATAGAGTGCTAAAATGCAACGAAGAGTTCTACAGAAGGCTAAGCTTGACAACGGTTTTGATCTACTTTCTCCTTGACCAGTTTGATTGAACCCTAACTGTGTTCGACACATGTCTTTAGGACAATGTGTTGTTGAGAGAAGGCCTCACAGGAATCAATGAGAAATAAGTTCATTGATGAGAAACTCCATCTTTCAGCTGTTTATCTTGCAGTAAAACACTTTGAAAATGTCACATGCTGTTGAATGTGCTGGATTTTTAGGAGTATACTGACTTTATAATTAATGCTAAACACTGTCCCTAGTCCCAAATTGCTAACTTCATATTTGGGTACTCTCAAATTTCTTGTTTATGTTGATTCTAGATTACTTTACTTTAAAAGAAAAGTTTTTTTGTTAAGTATTTACCTTTTTAATTTGATTTCTCACTTCCTTGCTATTTGAAAATTTAAGTTATAAGTGGAGGATTTAAATGACTTTTAACTTCTTAATTTGCTATTTATGAACATTTCACTGTGATTTGCTGCTGTTGGTATCACCGCTGCTGCTTGCCAAGATAACTCCTTGACTTGGTTCTGGATTTAAGATGCTGCTGGGAAAGGAGTAATCCATGTCTGAGACAACATAAGGTCTGTATAGGCACCTTTCTTCAAGCTCTACAGTGAGCACTGTTGTTTTGGCACTGACCACAAAAGTGTGCTCTTGTTTGTATGGTAAACCTCAGTATTCAAACACTTGGTGAATGAATATTTTCTCATTTTGTGTTTTATTTTCAGATCTCATTTCAATTGCCTGTATCCTGGGAACAGGAATATTAGGTAAGCCTTTCACTTCAACATTTGCATTTTGTATTTGTTCATGGGATGTGGGTATCAGTGACAATTGTTGCCCATTTTAATTGCCCTTGGGAAAGTGCTGGTAAGTCGCCTTTTTGAACCGCTAGAGTTCATGTAGCATATGTACACCCACAGTGCTACTAGGTAAGAAGCTCCAGGATTTGGACCCAATGTCAGTGAAGGAAAGGAGATGTATATTTTCAAGTCACGGTGATGTATGACTTAGAGGGGAACTTACTGTTGTCAGTGTTCCCATGTATCTGCTGTCCTTGTTCTTCTAGATGTAGAAGTTGTAGATTTTAGAAGTGCACTTGAAGGAGGCTTGTCGAGTTGTATTCTCCTAGTTTATTAATCTTGTTACAGTGGTTCAACTATTGACTTCCATGTTTTATTTTTAACAAAACTTAAGAGTGATTGTCTCTGTCTCTGAATAATATTACCCTCCTTTTTGTTTTGCTCTGTCTATGTTGAGGTCTTGTTTTTGTGTTCAAAATGAGTCTCATACTTTTACATGTTTAGGTATGGTATGGACAGCATTGGAGCTTGTAAAACTATATTAATTGAATGAGCATATATTGTTGATACTAATTAATCCCAGCATTTGTATATTTTGCCATTTATGCTATTTGAAATGCAACTGACTCAATGTGCATTTGAAGTTGGCCAAGTGTTTGGAAAAGAAGAATATAGAAAATATAGAGAAAGGTCCAGGGCAGTGTTTTTAGCTGCAGTTTAACAGCTAAAATTAGTTAGGTCATAAGAGTCCATTGTGACAATCTGCCATAACCATTGTTTCTGGAGCACTTTTATAACCCCATTTCTAGTAATAATTTCTCAAGTGAAGATGAACAGAAACAGCCTTTCAACAATGAGAGAAAATGCTGGAACAGAGGTGAAACAGCAGCAAAACAATGGAGCTCCTTGATAAGGTTGTTAGCTTCACAGAATGGCTAAGTTAACAGATGCATTGTGTAGTTTTTTTTATTTAGGAGTAACATCTAGTTGCTAAATTTATTCAACGCAAGAGTTTTTTATATTATGCTTCCATTTTATTGTAATGCAGAAAGATATTTTTTCAAGCTAACTAAATAATATACTTGGTCACTGGTTCAATTATTTATCTAAATTAAGTGGTTGTTGATTTATTTACTTAATGGGTCAAAACAAGAAATTTATGTAGTAATTGTCTATACCGTGGATATTTATTTATATTCTGCCTGTTTATTTCAAGTTATTGCTCAAAATTAATTCAATAAGTTTTAGATATAGGTGGCATTACGTGTCACATTGATCAAGCAAATTAGAAACAGGCTGAATATTAAACTTTCAGAGAGAAAGTGAAAAATATAAAAGAACAAACCAAGAAGGAGTATGAAAAAAGATTGGTAGTTAACATAAAAGACGATGCAAAGTTCAGTAGGCTTATAAATAGAATGTGGGGATGGGATAGAGCCGATTAGGGACCCAAAAAATGGATCAATGCGCGGTGACAGACGGTGTGGTTTTTGTACTAGCTTAATGTTTTCACCTGTATTCAACAACAAGGAAAATATTCTAAAACTTGGTTCTGAAGGTTTTATGAAATTTGCCTTCTAGTTGTTTCGTCCCTTAAGACCAGATTTGAATGCATCTAAGGATGCTGACAAAACAATCAGTAATTATTTCATAACTTTCAATTTGATAAATAAAGCCACACCTGCATCAGAATTTAAAAAATGTTAGATGTATTCTTGTATCTCAACATTTGGGAACTGATAGTCAGGATTGTATAAGGGACAAATGACTGGAAGATTTATGTAGCTGGACATTAAAGGACAAAATCTGCTGTAATCAGCAGTGAAAGGCAGAAACGAAGACCATGGTAAAAACACCAACCTGTAGAAAACAGACTATTGTCAGCAGAGAGTGCAACCCGTGACCTGCCATGAATGGCGCTTTGAAAAATTATGATCTAAGCAGAGACAGGTAACTTCCAAAAGGAAATTCAAATTTCCAGTTATTAAAAGATGACACAAATATATTTTGTTCTTTTAACTCGGAAAGAATAAGCAATATTAATTTAACACAACATCTCATAAGCACTTTAAATCAAAACCAGAAAAGAACATTTCTGGTGCTATTTTTAATGTCAGCTGGGAACGCCTTTTTTTTGACAGGCACAGTTACTTGAGGTCACGTAGTTTTCCTGACACCAAACTGAGGTGTGTCACAACTCCCAGGAATTCACTCCAACTTTCTTTACTTTCTTAGTTACCTTCCAAAGTGAAGATTTTTGGAGTTCTCTCACTAACATCTGGCTAGGTGAATTTTCCAACACAACTTTAATGCATGCCAAATTTGAAATTTCCCAGCCTGATGGGCCTTGATCACGTCCTTTGTAATGACTCCAAATGAAAGTTTCCTGTAAACCAATAGTTACAATACCAAAATATATTAATAAATGCAGTTATACATTTGAAACAGTATCACATATGTTAAAATGATTAAAGTTGTCACATATTTCCAATAAACCCTTCTGTCTAATGCCCCCACCAATCCACTCCAAGATCCAGTTCCTTACTCAGTCACCTCTTCCCTTCAACAATGGCTTCTCTTTCAGTACTACCTAGCTCCTCTCTTCTCATTTGTCAGTCCTCCTCCTTCCTCTTGAAATTACTGTCTCCTGCTGGTTTTTCATTTTGGCATATAGCTGACCTGCCCAGTTGACTGGCTGTCAGGAGACAACAGAAGGAAAATATTGCAAGAAGGTCTCTTTAAAGTTGGCAGGACCTCTGTGACCTTGCTATTGCTGGTAATCCTCTCACTACCATGACCACTGTTACCTCTGTCTCCACATAAATATTAGATGCAAAAGGTAGAGAAGCTATGAACACTTTTTTTTAATTGTTGCAGGCTTACCTGGTACAGTTGCACATGCTGGACTACAGCCATTTTTGGTTTCCTTCATAGTGGGATTCTTTATGCAGGTGGGTCATTTAGAAAGTGACTGTCATAAATAACTTAGCTGGTATTTAACACAAAGAGGGAGATATATCTAATGATACATTTCTTTATACAAGGAATAATATTTATTAGATTTCTATTGGTTTAAGATGTGTACTGCATGCGAACATGCCTTCGTGAACAATGTTTAGTGCTCACTCACTTAGCACCTACCTGCATTCATGCATTGTCTACACCTTGCCTGGTACTGTCATGCCTGTTAGCTTTTGGCATTGGCTAAAATACCAGCACACTATCAGTATTGCTGTATAGACATCCTTTTTTGTGCAAATATAATATACGGGCTGCTTGTCATGCATGTCACAGGATCTGTCCTGTTTGAGGTGTTATCTTTATGGATAACAATGTAATACCTACAACATCTGCTAGCTGCCACAGTCTGGGGATTCCAGTACATTCATTCATAGCCCAGTCACACAGTCCAGTGGCTTGGCCATGGTCAGTTGTCCACTTAGAATACTCACGATTAGGAAATCTGTTCGACTACAGTCTGGAAAATCAGAAACAGTCCATCGTATAAGGCCAGCGCCAGCAGTCTGGGGAATTGGGCATGATCAGTCGGGGAACTGTAAACACAGGACTCAGAGGCCTGATCAATCATATCTAGGGGCTGCTTGTCAAAGTCAACCAGAAATCTGCAGTTTCTGGGTCCATGCATTGGTCATTGAGGAGGGTATAAGGGAGGCCTTTCAGGGCAAAGGGTGACAGAGCACTACTGAGAGGTCTGCAGGAGTCGAGGCTGGGGATCAGGAAGAAAGCAGAAGGAGGCGTTGAGATGGGGGCAAGTTTGGTGGAGAGAAACTCCAAGGGTTATGTGCAACAGCATTGGAGGGCATGGTAGGCAGGAGCGAAAGTCTCATTGAAGCTAAAGATGGTTGGGCCTAGACCACTCCTCTGAGGAACTCCTGCAGAGATGTCCTGGGGTTGAAATGACTGACCTCCAAAACCACAAGCAACTTGTTTGTGCTCAGAATGATATTAGTCAATGGAGGGTTTGCCCCTTGATTTCCATTGACTTCAATTTTGCTGGAGCAACTTGATGCCTCACTCAAACAAATGCAGCCTTGATGTTGAGGACAGCGGCTATCTGGCATTCAGCTATTCAGGTGATGTTTGAACTGAGGCTGTAATGAGGTCAGTAGCTGATGGGCCCTAATGGAACCCAAACTGAGCATTAGCAAGCAGGTTATTGTTAATCAAACACTGCTTGATAGCACTGCTTATAACATCTTCCAATCACTTTATTGATTTATAGACGGTAGACTGTGGGGGCAGTAGATGGCCAGCTTGGACTTGTCCTGCTTTTTGCTTTTTGTGAACAGGATATACCTGGGCAATTTTCCACGTTCAGTAGAGGTCAGTCTTGTAGCTCTACTAGAACAGTTTGGCTAGGGGTGCTGCAAATCCTGGGCAGAATTGACAGGGCTCCTTTTGCCATTGTCCTTTCTGGTGCCTATGTGAAAGCCAGATGGTCCAGTTTTTATTCCGTTTTTTGAGTCTTCTTAGTGATTAATAGAACGGAATGGCTTGTTATTACTTAAGAGTTAAACAGGTTGCAGGGATTTGAACCCACATCTTTAAAACTTTTCCTGGGTGTCTCAGTTGCTAGTATAGTGCCAATATCATTGTGTCATCACCTTCCTTCTCCAGATTGCCTGTTATTCTACTGTTCAATTAAGAATATGACAAGAATTTGTATTCTCCTAGGTCATATCTCAAGATGTATCACAGGGGCAGCTACCATTTGACATAACGCCATACAAGTTTCAGAAGTACTAATACACATTGAATTGTAATGCAGATCAACTGTTGCAACTAAAGCCGAATCATTCTCATATCAATGTAAGATTTAAGAGGAGGAGTAGGCTGTTTGGCCCTTGAGCCTCCAATGCCATTTAGTAACGTTGTGGCTGATCTGACTACATTTTTTACTACCCATGCTAACCTTTCACCCATTTGCTCATCAAGAATCCATCCACCTTTCTCTCAACCGTATTCAAAGACTCTAGTTCCATCACCTTTTTAAGAGGGTTCTAAAGACCCTCAACCCATTGTGAGGAAAAAATATTCCTTCCTCTGTCTAAAATTAGTGACCCCATATTTTGAAACTGTGACCCCTAGGACTGAATCTTCTGTTCTTTTGATATCTTTGAAGTAGAAATTAATTTCAAATCAAGTAACTTGATTGTCAGTCAACTTCGAAAAGTTTGTTTTGTGACTCAGTTAAGCTTGGCTGTCAAAACACTGATTTGATCATTGTCCCTTTTTTGATTCTAGCTCTTGCAGAATTTCGGTGACTATCTGACTGTTAATTACATCATGTCTAAGTTCCTTTAATGGACAACCATCCATTAGTAAAGTTCCTAGCCAGGCATTTATTTAATAAATGGTTATCACTAACAAATTACTTTTAGAATTTGTTCATGGAATCAGACACTATTTCTTTAATTGCTTATGTCGGTTAGCCCTTCTTTCCACAGCTAATTTACTATAGTAATATATTATTTAATGCAGATTGTAGGATGTGTAGGCAAGATATGAAAATTTCTTTGTTATCTCTCTTGTTCGCATTAGTCTATGTGGAATGAATGATAGTTTAGTAAATTATGCAACAAAGACATTTGTCACTCAAGATTCCTTGTGACTTCAGTTCATTTCAACATTTCAAAAAATGCAAAATAAAAATAATAATGCCTTACAATCATTTGTTGCATCATTTATATAGTTTTTTTATAAACAGTACAGTACATGACACTTCCTGGTCGAAGAGTTGGACCACTTAAATTGGTCAAGTATAATGGGTTATAATATTTCATTTGTACAGTTCTATATTTGCAATGCTTTGATTCTAAAGTTGAAAGATTTATTATGATTCTTCTCTAGCTATATCCTGGTATAAAATATTTGAGAGATGAAATCGTACTGGCTTCACTTTAATTTTGTTTCTTTTTTTTATTTTAAGGTGCTGTTGATTTATCTTTTTGTTGATTTGCTGCAACGATGTCGTTTGGTCCAAGTTGAGGCTGCAAAGGTAAGCCATTTGGACTCAATTTGGTACAAATAATAGAAGGAGAACAGGAATAAAATATGTAAGAGTATAATGCATTATTTTGTTACTGTTTGCCTTTTGCAGCAAATTAGTTGTCAAACATGAGATGTTCGCACATTTGCTATTTTGATTAGGTTGCCCTTTTTATTTTCTTGACATTATTTCTTAAGGCATATTTATAGATTTAAGGCCTATATTGGCTTGCCGTTGAGATTTAACTTGATCGTACATTTGAACTTAATCAAATTTTGTACAGATGAATATTTTGATTTTTATTCAGCTTCAATGTTTCACATTTGATTTTCTGACATTGCTAAGTTGAAGTATGCTACATATTTACTTTCGTAGCATTACTTATCAACTTCTATAAAGATGAGTTTCAACAGCACATTTGTTACTAACAATTTGGAAAACTTTTGCAGCTACTAAGTAAATGAGGAGCACTTTTTGTAGCTTACCGATGCATTAAGGAATTGAGTATACAAATGTAGTTGAATACTGACCATGGGATTCTCAGAGAAAAGGACTTGATTGCAAGTTAATGCACATGGTTGACTGAATCAGGCAGGTGTAGAAGAGAGAGAGAAGCAGACTATTGCCATGGAAACAATAGCTGAACCATTATACACAGCAGAGAAGTGAATTTTTTATTGTAAAATTCACAATGCTACCTTTGATGTAGAATGACTGAAAATCAGTGTTGATGTCATGGTGATTTTATCTGCAATACTTTTAAGTAGCATATTCACAGAAAGTTCAGGTGTATAAACCATTCTTATGATGATAATTCTCCTTTTTAGAATGCATAAGTAACAATATTGAATTTGAGAACGTCTTAAGTTTCACTGACGTGTCTTATTTTATCTTCATCTAATTTTCCTTTGTAGACTGATGACCATTTCAAATAAAAGGTGAAAAGAGAAATCTAGGAGATACATTTCAACATCACTCAAATCACTTAACAGCCTCCTCCTTCAGAAAGGCTTTACTATAGTTGCAGACAGTTCTTTCACTATAGCGACAAGACTCTCTCAGATTCTTGCTTTTGGTGCCTTACTGTAATATTGTAAAGTCCCAGTTTTTTAAATGAAATTTAAAAACAGTAAGCTGCTTCAAATCCAGCCAAGTATATCCAAAAGAAAGTTGCATTGCATTCAATCCAGTGAAAAAAATGATATCAAGCAGATGGCCAGTCAATTTGTTAAGATGTGTTGCTGAAATGTGTGTTACCAGGAAAGCCAGCATTTATCACCCATTGCTAATTTCCCATGACAAGGTGATGGCAAACTACCCTCCTGAACCACTGTAGTCTATCTGAGTGGTTACAGCCATAGTGCTGTTTGGAAGACAGTTCCAGGATTTTGATAAATCACCAGTGAAGGAGCAGAAATATATTTTGAGATCAGGGTGTTCTTGGAGGAAAACCTGTAGGTGATGCTATTTCCATGTCTTGGTGGCCTTTGTACTTCTAGATGGTGAAAATCATGGGTTTACAAGAAAACTTGGCAAGCCATTGCAGTGTTTCAATGCTGCTACTGTGTAGATACTTTGCTCAGAGGAATCCTTTCTCGACTCACAGCAGATTCCTATGTTTGAAGATATTAGGATGAAGTAAAATATTTTAGCCAAGGAATTCAAGTCACTGAAAACTGATGTTAAATGCAACATTATTTTCTATGTCAAACACTGGACTGTATGCCTCATTTAATGACAGTTTATAAGTTCCCAGCATTACTTGCAAATGGAATGGGTGAGAAATTGTGTATCAGTGATGGCATTTAAATGGTAGTATGTGTCAAATAAAGGTACATGTATCTCGGCTGCTATCAAATACTTTCAATTGAACAGGGAGTAGTAAGCTGACTTGCTGAAGAATGGGCCATTGACTTTCCAACATTGCAAGGAGATCCATGTGAACTCTGATTAGTCAAGACCTAGTACTGAGAAATATGCCAGGGAATAGCCTAATTTGTTCAGTTGAAAAAGTAGCAATATGTGTCCATGTTTTATCTGTAAGCAAAGAATAAGATGCCATGAGTTAAAATATGTAGCTTCCGGTATGCAGAAGGGTGCCACGTTGCAGACCCAAGTGACAGTGTTAAATTGGTTGTCAGTTGAATTCTTGGCACAGTCAGTATTAGTTAGCAATTTCTATCCAATCAGAGAATCCCATCACAGTCGGATACTCTCTTTGGAGTTTTGCATACATGGACTGATGGACGTGTCAGCACCTGGCCCTTTGCAGACAGCCAAAGGGACATGCTGTTGCATATAACTTGCCAGTCTTTCAGTTGTACAGTCCACATACTTAGCATCACACTGGCTCTGAAATTCATATATCTCATTACTTATTTATGTAACGGGCAGAACATCTTTTGGGGTTGACACCATCATCCTGAGAATGGAAAACATGACTTATTGTCCACCTCAAACCTATCTTCTTCAGCAATATAAAAGAACAGAAGAACTAGGAGCAGGAATAGGCAGTATAACCCCTCCGGCTTGTTCTGCCATTTGGTACACCACTCTGGGGTAGTGAATTCCACAGATTCCTGACTCTTTAAGAGAAGTAATTTCTTCTCACCTCTTTTAAATCTGCTACCGCTTATCTTAAAACTATGACCTCTCAATCTAGATTGCCCCAGGTAAGGAAATATCCTTTCTACATCTGTTTTGTCAATCCCTTTTACATCTTATATAGCTCAGTTAGATCTCTTCTCACTCTTCTAAATTCCAGAGACTATGGGCCTAAACTGCTCAACCAGTTTTCATAAGAGAAAGCCCTTACCTCTGAAATCAATCTCTGAACAGCCTCTGAACTGCCTACGATGCAACCACATCACTGAAGTAAGGGGACCAAAATGTACGCAGTACTCCAGGTGCAGTCTCACTAATGCATTTGTAACAACACTTCCCTGCTTTTACACTTTATTCCTTTAGCAATGCATTAGGATCTTGAAAAGCTAGCTTCAGAAGTTTCTCAAAAGCTACTCTGTCATGGATTGCCTTAAGAACTGCTTATGCCCTGATTGTTCAGTCTCTTCGATTGAGGCTGCACTTCAGGAACTACTTAAAGGCACACTTTTAGTTCTTTCACAGTTAGCTTCACTAAGCTGCCATTGGCTCTGGGTTTCTTTTGAGGTCCAATATCTGTCACTTGCACCAAGTAAATACTGCACTGGGGCTTCCTTCACCCCCTCTCAGCTGCAGCAAACTATCAATGGATCCTTGGGGTTCTTCCAAATCCTAACCCTTTCCAACAGAGCCAGTAACCTTTCACTACCTTCCCAGCTCAGATTTTCTCCCGTATGAGCACCCTATTGCCTGGACCCTCTTTTCTAAGTGCCCCATTTACAAGCTTTCCACTTTGACTGCGTCCAGTCAATATGGAGTCACCTTCTTTGAATCTCTCACATTGGCTAAAAATGACTTTGAACCTTGAATTGATGTTCACAAACATTTGGAGAGTTTTGATCAGTTATCCAGATCAGTTCAAGTGATCCCTACCACTGTTACGGCATGAGAACGTATATGACAAGCATTGAATCAGCTTGCCCTTAAATGTTACTTTCGTGATAGGCCACCAGCCACACAATATAAATGGATACAAAAAGAATGGATGACGCTGCCATATACATTTTTTATGCTGCTTAGGATTTCTATGCCGAACATGTTTGTATTGCTGAATGTTTGTAGATTTGCATTTGACTGTAGTGGAATGTTATTTTCAATATATGATGTAGCAAACTAAAAACAAAAGGTGCAGTATAACTGGCTTTTTAATGGATGGCTTATGTTCCATGACATGTTCTAGTTAACAAATATGACATACTTATTGTTTTCTAGCATTTAATGGTAGAAAGAATCATTATGCAGGATGTCAGTGGTCAAGATTCCCTTCCAAGTTCCGTTCAAGACGAAGAAGAAACTGAGGATGCAGGTAAAGAATCTTATTTATAGATTGTTGTTTCATAGGAATATTTTGTTTCGATGTGGTGGAACCCATTTTAGTTGCTTTCTCTATATTCTCCTAGAGCATCTAATATATAGTTCTTATGCAATCTTAACGTAATAGGATTTTCCTACAAATGGGATTTGGTGTTGCTGTTTTAATTTGTCCTCATTGAAATAATTTCAGTCTTCAAAGCCACTGGAACAACTATTTCAACAAATGCATCAAGACCTGATGCAATTTTGAGGTTGCTTTAAGGAAATTGCACAGCCGATTTACGCTCTTATTGAATAGTGGAGCAGGTTTAAATGACCAAATGGCCTACTCTAGCTATTAAGAACTATGTTTCTATCATATTTGATTGTCTCTTAACTTTGGCTCGAGGCATATATGATTGGATGGAATCTTTATAGGAGTCTGAGTGATATAGGTTGTGGCATGATTTGTGGCAGAATAGGACAAAAAGTTCAATAAGGCCTATCTTGGCATCTGGAGCATCTCGCTTCATCCTTTATGCTTTTCACATGCAGTGTGCTGAGTTGCCAATTAAGGGGGAACTATTTCTCTTTAAATTCTTTGTGGACGGCTCCTCTCACCTTTATCAATAATTAATTAGCTTTCTATCCCGCCAAACTCCCCAAACAAGCTGGGTACCAAAAAAGATTTGACGTGGAAACCAAAATGGAAACCTGGTGGATTCTGCTCACCAATTGCTCTGAGTGACCTCCACGTTACATCCCATCAAACTGCAGCCCAGGACACGATCCACACGCACACCTCATCCACAGACATTGGCATCAGGCATCTGCCAGCCCTTCACGTCCGTCATGGCACTTCTCTGATAAACTGTCAGGATGATCTGGAAGCATAGACCTGCATTGCAGAGTGCGCCAGCAACCAGCATTGAAAGGCTGCACCAAGGGCACTTTGTGTACACAGGCTGGATCGGACTCGGCTACATCTTGGGGCTGCTCACTTGACCTCTCAGAGTTTTCCTGCTTGCTCACTTCATCCTTGGGAGTTACACAACCAGTCAGCTTACCTTGCTGGTTACCAGTCCTCAGTCAAGGAAGCAGCTATCTTATGGTATGGCAATGTCTTACATCAGCCTCAAACCTGCTGCATGTGGAGCAAACACAGTATGCGCAACAAGCAAACAGCTATGTCTGAAAATCTTAGAGGAGTAGCCTTTACTGAAGCCCACAGAGTCATGTGTTAGTCAAGGGGTGTCTCAGCGCAGTCAGTCAAAGACAGCATCAGATGTGAGGAATGCCGTTGGGGTGGGCTTGTTAGTTAATGTGCCAAGCTTGGTAAGGTCTGGTGAGGAACCTCTCCAAGCCTCATGGCCTCAAACGATCAGACAAACACCACGCAACCCAGACTGAGCCAAAAAAACTTCAGATTCAGCACATTGTCACCTTGTATTTCTTTGATCCACAGGCTGTCAGCTCTGAGATATTTATATATGACAGAAATGATTGTAACTGTTTCGTGCTTTTTGATTGGTCTGCATTCTTTTTGACATGTTTGACTATTCTACTCCATCACCTCTTTGGCTGAGTGGGACTACCTTTGCCTGATGCCACTCTTACCGACTGAGTCACAGTTAGACAATCTCCTGCAATAGTTTCTTTCTCCATCACATCTCTGGAGTCATCCAAAGACTTATCCTATTCTGTATTTTTCTCACTACATATTGCCCCTCTGTGACTGTATAGTCAGTTCACACTGATGGCACCTAGATCTATCTCCTCTCCATGTCTCTCAAATTCCACATGGCTTTGTGGCACTACTGAACTGCATTAGTCAGTTCAAATTTTCTCTGGATAAACTTGGGGAAAATCAAAGCCTATGAGTTCCGTCCTGCCGGAAACTCTATTCCCAGGTCAATAATTCCATTTCCTCAGACCACACCACACCTTTAACCTTGCCACCCCATTTGAGCTAACATACTTGCATCATGTTCTCTAACACAGATCACCAAATTCCACATCCAGAGCTCCAACTGTCTGCACTCTGCCCCCAGCCCTCTGCTCCTAAAACTCTTTTTGTCATGTTTTTTAAACCCCAGACTTAACAATTACAGTATTCATCTTCCATAAACTTAATTCACCTAGAATTCTGCTGCAGAATCTGCCATATCTCCAGCCTGAATTATCCATCACCTTTATGCTCGTGACCTGTATTGGCTTGAGTCCATCAACACCTTGAATTTAAAATTCTTGCCAATCTGTTCAGATCCCTTCACTTTTCCTTTCGCTGAAGTCTTCTGAGATTTCTGTGTATACCCAATTCTGGTCTGTCATGCTCCCTCCCCTTTCCATGTCAGGTGGCATGGTGGCTGTGTGGTTAGCACTGCTGCCTCACAGCACCAGGGACCCAGGTCTGATTCCACTCTGGGGTGACTGTCAGCGTGGAGTTTGCACATTCTCCCTGCGTATGCATGGATTTCCTCCCACAGTCCAAAGATGTGTAGGTTAGGTGGATTGGGCATGGGAAATGCAGGGCTACATGGATAGGGTAGGGGGGTGTGTCTGGGTGGATGCTCTTTAGAGGGTTGGTGTGGACCCGATTATACCGAATAGTCTGCTTACCCAATGTAGGAATTCTGTGTCACACCATATGAGACCTTCCTTGCAACCATTTAGACCATAAGCTCTGAATTCCTTTCCTAAATGTCTCCAGCTTTTGGTCCACTGGCAAACATGTCTCCTCCAGCCGAACATAATGTTTTTGTGCAGCACCGCAGAATGTTACACTGTATTAAAAATGTTATATAAATTTAGATTGTTCTTGTATTATTAGTAACAGGTAAATGAGAGGTGTATAGCTGTGATCATTTTTCTTCAGTGTATTTAATCTGATAACAGAAGTGAAAGAGGAAAGGGACCAATGCTTCTGTAATTTCATGACTGTCCAGGGAATGAGTCTGTGCTAAGAATTAATTTACAATGAATACGTACACTTTAATTTGCTGGTTTATTAGATTCTTGGTGTATACAAGCAATTCCATTTTAAAGGCTTATTCATTTCAGATTTTTGGCACATGTGCTGCCAATAAATTTGCATCATTGGATAAGTACAAGTAACTTTATAGTTATTGCAAAACAAAATTCTTTGTCAAACAAGTTTGTAATGCAGTAGCATAACCTGCATGGTTTTAAACCTCCTTTATGTTGTTAACTGCTGTATTTTGTAGAAGAAGGAGGTGACTTATTGACTGTATTTTTTGTCAGTTCAATTCAATTTCAAATAAGATTCCTGTTTTAATGTCAGAGTTTTGAATCCTTATTGAAGTTAATATCAACATACCTTACCTTCCTTACCTGTTTGTATGATATTGGATCACTGCCCCATAGGTTTGAACATACATCTTTCTAAAGTTTTCCTCCATTCTCCCCTTTATTCCCGCTCCAAGCACATTCCCTTGAAATATTTGAAAGACAGGGTAAAATCAGACCATAAAGTCTGCTAAGGCTGCTCTGTCATTTCTTGTGATCCTGGCTCATCTTGGGCTTTAACTCCACTTTCCCACATATTCCCCATGTCCTTTGATTCCCTGAGACATCAAAGTTTCATCCACCTCAACCTAACAATATTTTGTATGTTAGTGCGTATGCAGCCTTCTGGCATAGGGAAGTCCAAATCAGAACAATTTGAGTGAAGAAATTTCTCGTCATCTCTATCCCAGATGCTGAAACCTTACCCTTTTTGTTCTAGATTCTCCTGTGAGGGGCACCAATGTCTCAGTATCTTGTATGACAATCTCATTAGAAAACATATTCATTTTGAAAAGAAACTTTAATTTCAATTATTAATTAAAAATATCATGGAACAGGATAAAATTTGATGAACACCTTTTACTGACAAAACAGAGAACACGCACTATTAATTTAACACCACACCTTATAAAAACTGATACTTTAAACTGTATTCAAAATAGAATACTCCTGATTTTTAGTTTCAACCAAGAGTTCCTTGCTACTGTAAAGTTTCATGAGTGTAGTGACAGGGTTTGATGATTATGCGAATTGTCTTCTGAGGTATGCATTGAAATCACTGTGACCTCAATGGCTGTATGCAGAGTTCCAGTAAGGTGTTATCACATAGTGTCATTTGTACAGCATAGAGCTGTCTGCTCTATTGTACAGAAACATAGATAGGAGCAGAAGGAGGCTAATCAGCCCTTCGAGCCTGCTCTGCCCTTCTTCATGATCATGGCTGATCGTCCAACTCAATAGCCTAATCCTGCTTTCTTCCCATAACCTTTGATTGTATTCGCCCCAAGTGCGATATCTAGCTGCCTCTTGAATACATTCAATGTTTTGGCATCGACTACTTTCTGCGGTAATGAATTCCACAGGCTCACCACTCTTTGGGTGAAGAAATGTCTCGTCTTCTCCGCCCGAAATGGTCTACCCCGAATCCTCAGACTGTGACCCCTGGTTCTGGACACACCCACCATTGGGAACATCCTCCCTGCATCTACCCTGCCCAGTCCTGTTAGAATTCTATAAGTCTCTAAGATTCCTACACCCCACCCACCACCACATTCATCTGAACTCCAGCAAAAACAATCCCAACCTAATCAAACCCTCCTCGTACGTCAGACCCGCCATCCCCAGTAAAAGCCTTGTAAACCTTCGCTGCACTCCCTCGAGAGCAAGAGCATTCTTCCTCCAGAAAAGGAGACCAAAATGCGGCCTCACCAAGGCCCTGTATAACTGCAACAACACATCCGTGCTCCTGTACTCAACCCCTCGCAATGAAGGCCAACATATCATTTGCCTTCTTTACCGCCTGCTGCACCTTCAGTGACTGGACACCCAGGTCCCGCTGCACACTTCCGTCTTCCAATTTACAGCCATTCAGGTAGTAATCTGCCTTCTTGTTTATGCTTCCAAAGTGAATAACCTCACATTTATCCAAATTATAGTGCATCTGCCATTGATGTGCCCGCTCAATCAACCTGTCAAGATCATCCTCGT